TTTTTGCCTTTCTTTCTGTCAAAAATCTCTTCTTTTTTTCATAACACGCAATTTGTATACAAACACAGTTTGGTTTCTGGCACAATGAAAAAAAAAATCATCAAATAAGGTGTGAACAGTGATAAATCTCTTTAACAATACTAATCCTGAACTGGGCAAAAACGCGCACCCTAGGAAACACTAAAGGTGGGTTTGAGAGCCGAGGTGAGGGTGGGTTGGGGGGTTGATTAAGCATCCCCTGCCAACCAGTCACAATCGCTATGGGCTCTCTGTATTGATCTGATAAACAAAGTAGCTGTAGTCAATATAAGTAAACCAAATTAATGGCATGTCAAACGTTGCAATATTCGATCTTTTCCATTTGTATTCTATAATTTTCCATTTATATTCTATAATTTTCCATTTGCATTGTATAATTTTCCATTTGTATTGTATAATGTTCATTTGTATTCTATAATTTTCCACTTGTATTCTATAATTTTTCATTTGTATTGTATAATATTTCATTTGTATTCTATAATTTTTATTTGTATTCTATAATTTTCAATTGTATTCTATCATTTTTCATTTGTATTGTATAATTTTTCATCTGTACTGTATAAGTTTTATTTCCATTCTATCATTTTCCATTTGTATTCTATAATTTTCCATTTGTATACTATCATTTGTATTGTATAATTTTACAATACAAATGGAAAAGTATACAATACAAAAGGAAAATTTTACAATACAAATGGAAAATTATAAAATACAAATTGAAAAGTATACAATACAAATGGAAAATTATACAATACAAATCGAAAATAATACAATACAAATAAAAAATATACAATACAAATAAAAATAAAATATACAATACAAATAAAAAATATACAATACAAATAAAAAATTATACAATAAAAATGGAGAATTATAGAATACAAATAAAAAATTTACAACACAAATGAAAAATTATAGAATACGAATAAAAATTTTACAATGCAAATGAAAAATTATAGATGGACTATTATAAATGGAAAATTTTACTACTGCAAAATTATACAATACAAATAGAAAATTATGCAATACAAATGGAAAAGATCGAATATTGCAGCGTTTGACATGCCATACAAACTAAAGTGGTTTAACGATGGTATATGAAACATGTCAGTCAAATACCATCCAAACGATGGGTTGTAACCGAAAACAAGTTTATAATAACGACCATAAGATTTGTGAAATGCTGGCGCGATTGTTGAAAGTAACGTGTTCTTGCGAACCGAGTCATTTGGGAGATAAAAACACCATATGCCGGTGATAGTTGAGTGAATATAGGGAAACTGACGACGAAAAGGTTTGAAGTCATCCTGTTTGTGATTAGTTTTAGTTGTTAGTTGTCCATTAGTATCTATATAGTAATATTCCACTATCATCTGCATATGGTGTTTATTTCTCTCAACTAATTCGATACGCAAGAGCATGCTCTGAGTACGATCAATTTTTAAACTGAGGCAGGCAACTGACAAATAAGTTGATGTTATAGGGATTTCTACAGTCCTGTTTAAATTCACCATTACGTTCATTCTATATTATAATGACCTTGTTAGCAAATACAACCTATCATTGGGCCGTGATTTGACTGACAAATTTCATACCAATTGTTAGGCCGTTGTCGATAACTACGGATTACTCCGTCTACCTGATCAATACATAGGGCTCACGGCGGGTGTGACTGGTCAATAAGGGATGCTTACTTCTCCTAGGCACCTGATCCCACCTCTGGAATTTCCGGGGGTCTTTATGCCCTGTTCTCAGATTTACTAGTATATTGATTTTAGGTTGGGTTTTTTTTTCAGACCGATCATGTTAGTTATCTTCATCTAATTCACATGGAATTTTTTGAATTCTGATTTTAATAATAATGTTGGTTTTGTTGCTGCTGTTAAGAACAAAATTATAATATTTTAATAATATTGTTTAAATAATGCTATTATTTACAAACTTCTTGTCCTATTTCAGCCCTTCAGTCTTCCATTCTTCCTTGCTGTGATTGCCTTTTTTTCAAATCAAAACTGATATATTGAGTAGAATAAAAAAGATATTTTTGAAAAAAGAATCTCCAGACCCCAAGACCATAAACTGAGAATAGATTTAAGTCAAAATTTTCATTTTTAATATCTTGAGTTTTATTTAATGTATTTACTTAAAATTTTGCAATTTTATATAACATTAAAATTCAGATATATGATGAAAATTTTGTTTCATTATCAAAATTATTTCAAAAGTAATATTGCTTTGAAATTTTGACTTAAGTCTGTTCTCATTTTATGGTCCTGGGGCCAGGTCTTTCATAAAAAGTAAATCTTTTCAAAATTTTGCTGGGGTAGTTATGTTTTCATTAAGAGAAATATTACAGAGGCGAGTTCACAGTTACCGTAATTGTCTGTGCATGAGCCTAATATATTTTTTTTAATCAAAAGGTCATTTTATATTAAAGCTTAACATTTCAATATTTTCTACAGATTGTATTAGTATGATTTATATGTTGTGAAAAATCGATATTTAGGAGAAAAAAATTGGTGAGATTGCACTCTCCAAATCTACTCCGCTTTACCAGCGTGGTAACGACTCTTGGGGTGTTTATATACTTAAGGAAAAGACCTCACGGGAAATCTCCATCGCATTCAGCAACGAGTTCTATAGCAGAAATTAAAATTTGCTTCTCTTGATAAATCTAACAGTCCTATACGGCGGGGAGATGACAAGAGACAACGAACAGTTTCCCAGGAAACCTCTATAGCGCCATTAACCATCTCCGGTTTTTAAAATTATTATAGCTGCGTCTCTTTTAAACGAGATCATCGCTATAATCCTTGGCATAGAAAATATGTCTTTGTCGTCTTTTTCCATGTAAAGTGCTATATGCTTGTATAAACCCACATTGAAGACCTTTCCAAGGTTTTGCAGAAGACTTGATTATCCGCAAAGACCAGTTTTATGCCTTAGAGTAACCGTCTTCAGCTTCTAATTTGCAATCAATAATCACATAAAAAGCGACATATGAAGCCATGAACACATTTTAATGCTGAAAAAAATTTAGCTTTTAGGTTCGTGGGTCAGTCAATTTGTATACAATGGCTTCTGCAATGCATAACAAAAAAGATCATTTAATATAGATATGCGTCTAGCACCAAAGGCTTTGAATATGACATCGCTCTGATTTCGTTGTTATTCTATAATTGCATATTATTCCTTTTTTGTAATTTCAGATGCTGCATAGCATGACGCTTTCCCCAATATTTTTCTTTCGGGTTCAAAAACCTTAAAACGTAATGTTCTAGTAATTGACAGGTTCGTCGTGGGAGGAAACGCATCTACAGGGCGTAGGAGGAGGAATATTTTATTATCTGAGTGATCTATTTCAGAGGTTTTAAAAAAAGTGTTATATAACGGAATGAAAACAAGAGAGAACGTGTTGCCAATAAGTAGACCATTTTACCAGGTCATATAGTTAAAATGTCATTGTACAATTTCGTTATTTCATAACTACAAATAAGTGTTCTTAATAAGAAAAAGATTATTTTGCATATTTCTTTTTATTTTGTACCCAACTAGTATACATTGTTATTTTATCTGATCAGCTGTTAATTTCAGCATCACACACTTACATTCCTAAGTTGTTTTCGTTATAAACGTACCCTTGCATTGAATTTGCTATTTCATATCTGTATAAAGAAAACATGGAGATGCAATGAAAAACTGTGAGAAATTATATACATGTATATATATATATATGTTGGTCAAAATTCAATTGTATTTGCAAAATATATTATTTATAGCAGAGTAAAACTAATCATTTGTGTATTAAAATTAGAGCAATATAACCTGCATGAATTCTGCTCACCCAGAAAGCAAAACGATACTTTATCATAATCATTGTCCTTGAAAATGATTAACAATTGATATATCCTGTTTTTGTAAATTTTAAAGAAGATGGGCGAACAAGGCGAGCGCAATGCCTATAATGCAACAACATGAAGGTGAAAAATTAAATCTCAATAATAATAAAATTTTCTTTGGTATTTCATCTAAAATTAAAGTATACTTTATGTAAAATCTCCACAATTTGCAAAAGTCTCACTAACATTGAAATTATTTGCCTATGAAATAGCATGCATACACTAGAGAGGGCAAAAAGGATAATTTTTTCATACTAAAACACAATTTTTCGATATGAGTGGGTCCTTGCTCCATATTTTTCAAAGTTTATCCTCAAAGTTTGCAAACAAAATCATGGAGCAAAGACCCACTATACCTTAAAAATACACTTTTATGAACAACATTCGCATCTTTCCAAAAAATACTTGAAGTCCATTTAGTCAATGGTCATATCAAAAACATGATTTAAATGCCACGATTCCACAAGAGCTTTGTAGCGTAGTGGTTAGCGAGTTAGTCTCTAAAAAGTTTTTTTTTTTTTTTTTTTTTTAAAAAGCGTGTTAGTCTCAAAGGAAAATGATACTCAGGATTTTTATTTCTAGGGCTCGAGACCCACGAATACCACATTATTTTGGAATAACACAATAATTTTTGTCTAGAAAATTTTCCTCAGAAAAGTTATGTTCATAATTTCATAAATCTCGATAATGATAACTTTACTTTAAATACTAAATTCACAAATTGATTATGATTTTTATATATCTGAAGCTATAGGCATTCTGCGCGCCTTGTTCACCCATCTCCTATTCTGGATATGTTTGTCAATACCCAACGGATAATAGCAAATCTAGTAAAAGATCATACATTGTATTATACTTGCAAGTTTGCTGAGTTACTATCATAAAAACCTTCAGTCGGTATTTTCTTGAGGAAGGAATATTGAAACCTATCAATATTGTTTTATGTATCTTTATGTGCATTTAAAATAAAAGACACTGGTAAGAAAAATAATCCCTTTCCTTCAATAATTATTGTAATAAACTGACACTATGTGATATACAATGCCACGTTATTGTGTAAAATTGATAGTCACATTATATTTTGCACGCTGATATCATCAGATCGTTTGTTCAAGAGCACGTAAAAAAACGACATAAAAGTATTAATCGTACAATGATCTAGCGGGAATTACGTAAGCACGGTTTCAAATATTCATACAAAAATCTAGAAACCATCACTAAGGAAACAGATTTGACAATAACTTGCAATTTCTTTCTGTCTCTTGTCTGTTGTCTAAGCACGCGCACACTGAGCCGAGAGTTACTATTGATTTTTTTTTGCCAAGATGGACAAGTTATAGAGAAGATACGAATAGGCCGTCCCCTCTCGAAGCGCTTCATGGAATCAGATCGTTGACATGGTTTATCGTTTATCCAAGGCAGACAGCGAGAACAATCATTTCGGTTCCATTACATCTGAATGAATTCTGAAAAAAGGACATGTAAACTGAATGAGATTATGTCTTCTGTAAACGGGGTCGGAAGAGGCAATGCATCTAAAAGATCAACTCTAAAACTGTTACAGGAGTGCTCAAAAGAAAATCGTTTTTTCTTCGAAGGTTTTCTCCGCGGGGGTATCCAGTCACTTTCAGAAGAGCACTGTTAAAATATTTTTTTTCTTAAAGTGATATTCCGTTGCTTCAAAGTATTTTCATGCCGTTGTCAGTGAATTTAGCGGATGGGAGGAAGTTGTCAGTTTCGTCTTCTGGTAAAAGTCTTAATGTGGCATAATACGAAACCGTCAATGGTGGATGAGATTGGTGACAGATTTGGTTCACTGACTTTTTCACGTGTGCGACTGGAACGGTGTCTTGAACGGATTATACAATGGATTGTTGTAATAAGAAGCGAGTATTGATGGTTATGACAAGTGCATGTGCGTGTGCAGCATTCGGATTACTGGCTATAGGTGTTGCTACTGACTATTGGCTCTTCACAAGTGATCTCCAAAAAGAATCGGAAAACGACACTGACCTGTACGAAAATCACTGGTCTGGGCTTTGGCGCACGTGCAAAGTGGACGGTAAGCATGTCCTGTAATAGGATTATTTGTCTTTATAATGAGCCGTGTGAGGACCATTACACCGGCCAGAGAACCAGATTACAGTCAGTCACGTATTATTATCCTTTGTTTATTCAGTTGTAACCAAAATGGTCAAAGAAATTTTGATGAATGGGTCCTGATTTTTAATCGTAAAGATCTGACAATGATTACATGATTTGTGTAGATAAAATCGGTCGTTATGATTTCCATGTGTGATGATAATGGCTGGTTCTTTTTCTTGTATATTTGACCTTGCTGAAATCAATACTTCTAGCAGCTCGAGGGATCAGACTTAATTAACCGAGACCTCATCTCGAAGTCGACCTTATATGGCTTTTTATAGTAGCTGATTTGCTAAGAAACAGGGGAAAATTTTATACTTTAGTGTCAATTACGTGAAGCTTTTGTTTTCACAAATTTTAAAGAAAGTTGCAAAGGTTATCATGAAGTTACAATAATAAAACAATTAAATATGAAAATATTTCTTTGGGTAAACTGGTATCCTTCTTTTATGTACTATATATCAAGGAAGAGGTTGTCACAAATATGATTGCTATTTTTTCCCCTGTCTATTTGGGAAGCTTAGTCTAATAGTTTTTATAGAGCTCCAATACTCAAAGGAATATCAAAGCGAAGACCCACGTTCACATTTACACCAAATTCTGTCATTGTATATCATCGGTTTCGTAAATTACTCCACATTTTGTAAGTTTGTGAAGGCTTTACCATTGCTTTTATAGCAAATGATACACGAGGTATTAATCGTCGGGTTCGATGTACGGTTAACATTGCTTTTGGCTTCTAGAAATGATAGACGTCCGTAAAGGAGGTGAAAATGCACCAATGACTGAATTGCACTATGTAGAAAGCACATCTAGAGAAATGGAACCTAAAATACATATCGATTTTTCCCCTTATAAATTTATGAAGACGCTTTATGATATTAATGAAATCAACAAATTGAATATCAATAGCAGAATAAATATGACTTTGCGCCATGAATGTGATAAAATTGTCCCTTTTCGTTATAATGACGTGTCCGTGTCTTCAAGAGAAAAATTACACAGATATGAATTTCTGATTTTATATCATTTCTGTGTGTTATCAACCAATGTTCAAGGCAGAAAATACATTTCATTAATTTCATTTCAATCCCATGATGTAGTTTAAAGTTGGGTCGATTTTGAACAATGTACAGAGTAAAATAGGCAGAACGCTAAGTGAATCATGGCTGGTCATAGATAAAGCCTTTGAAGTGCTTCATAAATGTGAATTTTTCATCAATTAAGTCCATTCTTTTGATGTTTCATTACATTATTGCACAATTATCAAAGCAGTTTAATAATATTTGCACTAAACGGAATCAAACTTCTCTTCAAATCGGTCAGTCTATGTGTGTCTGCAGGGAAGTACAGTTATGTAAAATATATATTACCCAGTTTTCATAAGTATCAGCATATTCAATGCAGTTATGTAGAACTTTGGACAGTGTTGATTAATTACTTTACAACTTCGAATCGAAAAGAGAAACCCCTCATAAGCTTGTTTATGATTTACTCAACAATCCTTTAAAATCGACCCAAATTAGAGCAAATTTTCAAAGAGACCATAATGCATCTATGGTAAAGTCTCGATGTTTCAAATGGTACTACACCACCAAAAAAATGGCGGATACATTTTGCAGATATGTTGGCGATTTCTTTCCTCTGTGACGTCGGAGCCAAAGACATTTTAATAGAAATTTGTGCAACTTTGATCTATAGAGTTTTTCAAAACAGTTATTTTTGTAGACAACTTGGAATGTACAGATAACATCTATCGATCAGCATGACCATACTTTTACTAGTTTATAGGCTAGATACAATAACAATTTTGAGCAGTGTTTGGGCATTAATGAACAAATCAAATGAATAGGTTCCAAACATCTTCACTTTCGCCCCAGTATTGGTACATCTCTTTGCTCATCACGTTCCCCCTGTCTCCTAATGCTGACGGGATCGATTCGCTGGAGTTTTAATTATAAAATCAGAGAAAGGAGTGTTCCAAGAGGAGCCTGCTACTTAGGTGCTTTATACAAAGTAGTAGTTTCTATTAGTGTTTCGGGCTCGCAAAACCACTTGGCATTCGTAAATTGATATCGACAGGTACTAAATGAACCAGGCTATGTAAATGAGGATAGTTGGGAATTCGTTATTGGTGATTATAAGCCCCTCTTCTGATATTGACTTTTCCGTAGTCAATTGATGATTTTTCTTCATTTAGGGTTTTCTTTTTTTTTTTTTGCACTGAACGATCATCGAGGGAAAGGGTGTTGTATCTGTGTTCTTGAGTCGCATAAAATTTTCACGTCCACATTCGCACAGTTGTTTGTCTTTTGTACATTTCGCTGAGATCTTTTAAGTATTCTTCTGTACAGTCAGGATTGGTAGATCTTTTCATTATTAACGATGTGAGTAATTGCTAGCGCCCCTCAATGTACCAATGCATATGTTTTTCGAGGGAACATTCGGCCAACGCGTGTTCGATTAAACTCGAAACGCTAATTGATTTGAAATAATTTTTGTCAAATTTTTCGTCTGTACCGAGGGTCAATACTATTTATAAAGACAATTAGCTCCAAGGTATTTCAGCCATCCAAATGAAGTGATTTGGTTGTGTTGCTAGGAATGACATATTTTAGTTCATTGTAACCTACACACTGTACTATAGTTTGACAAATAACCATGACCTATATTGTATAGTGCTGGTGAAATCAATTGTCTGAATACTGTCATTTGGTAAAGTCGTGAAAAATAGGTTTAGTGACTTTCAAATGGTATACAAGAATACATTTCAATTTACAAGGCATACAAACAGCATGAGGAAATGGAATCTTTAAAAATTGGTCGTAATTTACTTGCTTGCTTTGCACAAAGTATGGATATAAATCAATGTGTTTATAAGTTATAGAGATGGAAGTTTCTAATCAGTCATGTAGTATAGCTACGACTGACCACAGTTTTATACGCATATTCCTCTGTCAACAAAACAACTTCGTCAAAACAACGGTATCGTTGGGACTGGTAAATGACAATTCAATAGTAATAGGGATTGAAGATAACGAATTGGGCATTAAGTGTGTGTGCAATATTTTGTCATCTTTCACAATGGATGTGTCTATGACATTTTCTTCAAATGCGTTATTTCGGAATGAAGGAAACTGTCGTCTGATGATACTGAACAAACTTGTTGCCGTCGAGGGACATCGTGGCATATGCGTGCTTTTCTTTATTATAAGACTATGGAGATTGAGTGGGTGCATGTACCTAGATTTGTCTCCCCCTGAACGAGACATCGGTAGTCACTCTGCACCTACCTTAAATGGGCATCAATGTTCAGCAGACTGGTCATAAAGTATTTTGTTTTAGGACATGTGACACATTATAATAGTTTTGTTTGAGTTCGAATCGTGACGCTTTGTAATTTACAGAAGGGACTTAAAAGACTAAAGATATGAATGGAGTTAGATATATATACACAAATCAGACCCTTGGCAATTGCAACCGTATTGGGTTTTTGTGTCCTTTTGCAGATTCCTTATTATGAATTAGTTTAATATACATCGACCTGTATTCATAAAAGTGATGGGAAACTGTTCATTAGTAGAATAAACAACTAAATATTGAAAATGTTTTTTTAAAAAGATGGATGCCTTGTTTTAGATAGAGTGTATACCTTGATCAACCAGAAATTAATTAAAGGATGATTAAAGTATAGATACATGTAGGTTAATACTTAGCTGGAATCAGTTAAGACGTTGCTCTGCATTTCAATTAGACATAAGTACATACATTAAACTTTACAGAGAGCATTTCTTAATGACGATTTATATATAATCGTATAATACGATTATATGACATCACCAAGTCTGTTGAAAGACGTGCTGATCTTGTCAAGATGTTACAGATAAAATATTTGTTGAGTATTAAATTCATGCAATATTTGTATGGGTTTGAACGCATTGATCTCACGAAGGTAGAACCAGGATGTGCAATACCTTTGAAATCCTTGGAGAGGTTGAAAAAAATAATGAAGCATTGTTTCAAATCTCTTTTGATTGTACCTGCTGAACCATTTGACAGGATGCATTGCAGCACGTTTATTGTTTATAAGGAAACGCTTGTCATTTAAAATGGGCAATAAAACTTTTTACTGCTCAGACAATATTGCTAAAGGGTTACGAGAAGACATTCTTTTCTCAGTAACTATTGAGCGTTGCATTTGAAAGAATATTCTGCTCACGAGAGGTTTTTTGGAATCACATTCCACGCAGAGAAGACAGAAAACTCTTTTATAGCTAGTCCTATTACCTTTGTCATGAAAGTCATAAGTCTTCGGGATGAAAGCAGATTTTTTTTTTCTAATTGCAACAGGCACTGCTATGATAAGTAAATTTCACTGCATTGACTTAGGTCTAAAGATATTATATTGCTTGGAAGAGTTTCAAAAAAAATATTATGAGCAAAATCATCCTCTCAAAGGAATGAATTTATTTATTATACTTATGACTACAGCAGTACTCAGAAGGTGACAATTTACCTAATACCTTCACTTCCATGCCGAAAAACCAAGATTCCTTTGAAACAGATTTCCAATAAGCTTTGTATTTTAAGTAAAACCAAATGGTGTTATGAATCAAAGTACAGCTATAGTACTGAAAGACGGGGTCAAAATAATGAATTTCACGATTTTACGAATTTCATTACTGGTGAAAATTTTTATAGGATTTTGATACGTACTTAAAATATTTTAGACATTAACTATTAACATAAAACTAAAACAAAATTTATTGAAAAACAAATTTAATCTTCATCTTTTTCATTCATTCTGTTATAGATTAATCAGTCATCACTAGCCAAGGACCCTTTTTGTACTGTCCGGATTTCACAGAGTCTGAATTAATATGACATTTCCGGAAGAAAACAATTGATGACGCGTAG